TTGTGCCAATAAAAAAGGATATTTTTTGTTTTTTTCCTTTTTTGGTTTGTATCACCGGCGCAAATAAGTAAATCGCGTATGCACGTACGTACGTAACTTTTACATTAACAGTTAACTAGTGCACTAGCACATGATTATTGCACCTGCAGTACGAAAGTTTGCCAACGTTATTTATACGTATGCAAGAATTGTATGTCAAAAACTTGCATGTAAAAATTACGCAAATTTCTATCCTATATATAAAAGACATACGTTTATATTGTTAAATTTTCATTTTGAATACTTGCCAAACATGTTTAGTTTAGTTTAATTTGTGCGAATTTCAAATGAAATGTAATTGTATATAACGTAATTTATATACGTACTGATCATGCCGAAATCAACCGAAAAATCATTCGATCAATTTTATCAGGTGTATCAGGAATTATTGTTATGAAAATAGCTATAACCGCGGATAACTCGGGTAATACCCGATCCGGGTATAATCTCTAAGTTATTACAAATTTTATTTTTTATAATCTTCCATAGTCAGTTTTAGGTTTCTTGCACCACACAAAGTTTAGAATATTCTCTGTACGAATAAAAAAGGTTGATACAAATAGCTATTATTCTTGATATAAAAAAGCGATGTAAAAATAAATATCTAAGAAATAAATGTCTTTCAAAAGACTTCTATTCTAGCAAATTTACCCATTTTTAATATTAATTTCTCCCACTTCTCTTTAAAATCTCAACACCTTCGAAAGCCGTAATGTCCGGTAAGTCCAAAATCCTACCTTCCAAATCACCAGCTTTGTCTTTATCATTTCGAACGGGTTTATCTAAAAATTCAACTTTAACTAAATACCCCAAATAAATTCCTATAAGCTTCTCATCAATCACCATGCATTCCTGATCAACAATCTCTCTAGTATTTCTATCATCTAATTCTGGTGCCTTAGTACTGGTCGGCAAATCATCCAATACAAAATGAAGCAAAGGATATAAAGCATTATCTTGTTGTTGTAATGTAAACTCCATTAGTTTATTTCTCCAAATTATATATTCTGTTTTTGTAACATTGTAACCGTAGAGAATCAATGAATTGAACAGATCATTAAATCTAAATGACGGATTGTTTGGATGTGTTATGTGGAAAATACCACGGTCGGAAGCTATGGATGACAATGATATCTTTGTTACACAATTTGCAACATAGTCCACAGGACACATGTTAATCGTATTATGGATTGTAGGAACCAGACTCAGTTGAATACAGCCTTTTATTAGACGCCAAATGAAGTCATCTGTGTTTGTTACTAATAAATAAAAAGTATAGTTTAAGTAAATGATCATAGAGATATTTGTGAAAATTAATTTCACCAATTTCGTTCATGGTAAAATTATTTCACCAGCATTTTTAGATAATCATTACGAAAACATAATAAAAACATACCACCAGTCTTGCTATCCCCAACAATATATCCCGGTCTTACAATACAAGCATTCAATCCTCTTTTCTTAGCTTCCATAATCAACTTCTCCGCAACCCATTTACTTTGTCCATATCCACTTTTTAGTCCAAATCTACTGCCTTCTAAATCATCGTCTTCACTAATTCCTTCACCCTCATTTTTTTCAATGATTAAACCACTTAATGAAACATAGTGTTCTGTATCTAACACGGATGTAGAACTTACAAATATAAATGGTTTTGAATGATGCGTACTGGCTAGATTTATGCACCATAATGTTCCTATAACGTTTGCAGATCTGAGTTTTTGATACGGATATACCCAATGAACCTATTTTATTTAAATAATGAAACGAGTTATGTTTAATAGATCAATGCTAATTAAAGAGATATAAAAAAACTCACCAATGCACCATTATGTACAACGACGTCGACTCTCTCACACAAAGATTTCCAATCCTCCTCTTCAATTCCTAATCTTTCCTTTTCCAAATCACCACATACTACTTCTAATCTTCCTTCGCTTTCCCATTCATCGCGCCACACTAAATGCGACTTACAACTCTTTTTAAGTCTTTCCATTCCGAGTTGTTTAGTTTCAGCTCTTACATGTGCAATTATTTTAAACTCTTGATTATTGTTAAGTAAATCTGATAATATAAATGCACCAAGAAATCCCGTTACACCTGTGACAAAAAATACTTTTCTTTGATAATTCTCTGGAATCGGTGTGTATTCCTGTAATAAATATTTAGGCGTTAAGATTTCTATATCATTGGCATAATTTAATTCTGACTTTTCCATTCCAATAACCGATTTGGAAACTAAATTATTGGCTGGTTGAATTTCAACATTTTCATCAACTATATTAAGTTCGCTTTTTAGAGCAATATCAATTTCATTAGCTTGTTCACGAATAGTAGGTTTTTCATATACTAATCCAAGTGGAATATTTACACCACTGGTTTTTCTTAACTCAAATATTAATCTTGTAGCCAATATTGAATGTCCTCCTAAATCAAAGAAATTTTCATCTAGCGGAATAAATGGGGTTGGTGGGTTTGGAAGTAATTGTGCCCAAATCGCATGAACTGCTCGTTCAGATTGTGACATCTTTTGACTTTTTGCAGTTACAGATGCTGACACGAATTTTGCGGTGTCAGGGAATGGTAATGCTTGTTTATCTATCTTTCCATTTGGTGTTAATGGCATCTTTTTCAATGGAACAAATACTATCAAAACCAAATTAAGAATTAGTCAGATCAAATTGTATACCATTAAATTTATATAGATTATTTTTATATTACCGCTTGGAACACTATAAGATGGCACTTTCGTCTTTAAATAATCTTTAATTTGCTTTATAAGTCTATTATATTTTCGTTTTTCAACCATCATTTCTTCAACATCACTTTCATCAGCAGAGCTTAGAAACTCGTTTAAGTCGCCGCCTTGAAGAGGTACAAAATAACAAACAAGAGTTTGCTCTTCATACTTGTCTCTCCTCACTAACGTGACATTCTCCCTAACAAGCGGATGTTGTGATAAATGTGTGTCGATTTCTCCAAGTTCAATACGGAATCCACGAATTTTGACTTGATCATCAACCCTTCCAACGCATTCAACTAAATAATGGTATATTTAGTTAATAGTTAGTTATATAATTAGTTGATAAGGTAAAACAATTAAGTATTAAATTAAGAAAAAAACTTTACCATCACCACTAGGTCGATACCTTCCTAAATCGCCGGTTTTGTACAACCTATCCCTTTTTCCTTTCCAAAAACGTCTCCATTCCTGCGTATCATCACTTTGTGACATTTCTAACTCTTCATTATTATTATTAAACCAATTCTTCAAAAATTTTTCATTCGTAACTTCATCCAGCCTTAAATATCCTTCAGCTAATCCACCGGCCCGAACATAAATTTCGCCAATCTCTCCAACGCCACATAAAAGATTTTTATTGTGTCTATTAACCACCAATAATTGTACATTTTGCATACCTTTACCGGCTGGCATAATATCTTTTTGTGATTCCAAGAATGTTGGAACGGAAGACAATGGTGGAATTAGAAAATATGAAACAGAACGTTGAGTTTCAGTTGTACCATACATGTTTATGATACTGGCATTTGGAGCTAAATGTTGAAGACGGTTACAATCTCGTTTTGTTAAGATGTCACCAACGAAAAATGAATTGCGGAGTGTTGGAATTAAAGCGGTAGCATTTGCAGAAAGCAATTGACCCATAGCTTGTATTTATTAATAGTATTTTTGAGAATGTTAATTCATGACGTAAGTCATATAAAGGCTTAGCAATGAGAATGAAAATTAGTACCAGGAGTGAGATGTGTAATAGTGACTTCATGTTCAGCCATCCACTCAGCTAACTTGCCAGGAACACCAATATCTTCACTAGTTGGAACGTGTAATTCAGCGCCAAAAAATAAAGGTGTAAAAACTAAAAAAAAAAAAAAAAAAAAGAATTGTTAGAGAGTTATCATAATTCAATTTCATGAGTTCAACGAAATACTAACTATCTCGCTGAATTGGGTCGTGGGCGATACCACTTAACATGGTGAATCGATCTTTATCTGAAATCCCAAATTCTCGTGACATCCACGGATAATAATGTGTGAGCGAAAAATGTCTTCCTCTTACACCTTTGTTTAATTAAATAATAGGTTTATTAACTAAATACATGTAAACTTTTAATATTTGAAAAAAAAATACCTTTAGGGGTTCCGGTACTTCCACTAGTAAAGCTCAAAGTACCAATGCTATCAGGTCCAATAACTACGCCAACATTCTTAGACGCATTATCACGAACCATATCTAATATGTCCGCATCCCCATGATCATCAATATTTCCACCTTTAAGAAACCCATCATTCAAGATTTCAAGTGCTGGAATTTCACATTTTAAATTAAGATTATCTCGAATGTATGTTCTGACCAATGAATGTACAGTTCCGGAGTGTTTAAGAATGATCAATCCACTTGGTTGTGCGACTGAAAGATATACATTTTGGCGTTCTGGCGGATAGGCAGGATCTATTTTATCATTACTTATATTTAGAGTTAAATCTAATAAAATGTAAAAACGTAATTAAAAATATCCACACTAACCAATAACACTAAAAGTAGCACCAGCTTTAAGAACACCCATAATAGCAACCACTAGATCAACACCACGATACGCATAGATCATGACTACATCTTCTCTTTCAATTCCATTATTTATTAAATAATGAGCAACAATATTTGATGCTTCATCGATACACTGGTAAGTATAAACGCGTTTTTTAGAAACATCACCAGTGGATACTACAACACATCGGTTATTGGGGGTCTTTTTGGCATTTGCAGAAAAAATGTCAGTTATTGCGCCATGAAATTGCGACCATTTCAAATCAGACTTCGGGTCAGGAAGCACTTCTAAACATTTGTCTGTTAACATAGGGATTTCAGCAATACATGTTTCACTGTGTGAAACAGCATAGTTTAAAACTGCGACAAGTTGATCTAGAATATGAGAAATTCGTTTTTCAGAGAATAAGAGCTGATTATATAAAATTTGAATTTCTATGGCAGGAAGAAGTGCATGACGAAGCGACGATGATGAATGTGATGCGATTAATACGGTAAGGTCTGTTGCTAAAGAGATTGCTTGTGGTAAAGGATTTTCAGGCATGTCGGTTTGGTTAAAGAATCTAACACGAAAGAGAGGTGAATGGACGGAAGTCGATAATGGACTTTGGTCTTTTTCGGGGAATAATGAGGAAATTAGTAAATGAAAAGGGACTTCATCTGCCGTCGCTTCTCGATCAACCTTCAGACAATTATTAAGCAATCATTAATTAGTACAAGATTTAGGTTTTAATAAAGTATTATAGAGAGGGATGTGCACATAGGTATATATGGGTGTCTAAATTACTTTTTTTAAAAACATAAATTTGTAAAACATTTCACCATTGCTAAATTTTTTTAATACGGCGCCACTAATAATTTCAACAATTATGGAAGTTAACTTTGCCACTAATAATTTCGCAATTATGAAAGTTAACTTTGCCACTAATAAAAACAGATTTCAGCAGACTAATTGCCAAAATAATTATTGCTAAAAAAAATCATTTAGACACCTATGTATACCCATAAGTAGGTTATGCAGTAAACCGTTACGCAGCCTACACGGATTTTTAATAGTTTTATAATTTGGGCAATTCCGGCCAAAATATCTCTAATATTGATAATTCATATCATAAGCTATACAGACTACTAGGGATGCTAAGCAGTTCAAGTGAATTCAATTCATACCAAGTTTAGATGTGAACTTGAGTTGAACTGATATTGAGGATTGAACTTTGAGAATTTGGTCCAGTCTTAAGTCTAAACTTCGGACTGAATTTTAACTAGTTCAATTCCATTTTTAATTAACTAGACTGGACCAGAAATTAACATCCCTACAGGCTGCATAGCCAGCCTAGGAAATTTTAATATTTCATAATTTTACTCGTCCTTAATCATGGAGAATAAACTTACTTGCTGAACTTTTTGGACAACCTGACCAAATGTATCTGAAGGATTAATATTTATCCTTAAAACGAGGGGATTTCTAGTATCCGAAGATGATCCAACCGTAATATCTTCATCACTTGTATACCGATTTAACAGCACAACAAAGGCCGCTAAAAGAATCGTAAAAGGAGTTGGTTGTTCATGAAACGATTCATTGGTTGAAGTTGTAAACGTTGAAGTTTGTACTGGTGAAATAGAAGAATCAGGTTTAACGGCCAGTGAAAATTGTAAAACAGCTAATGCTGTGGCTTCAGGAAGACGTAGAATTTTTTTATCTTCTATAACTTTTGGAGTTGATGGTCGCGCATAATCTGTAGGCAATTGTATTTCGGTCAAGTTCTGTAAACGTAGTTTCCAACGATCTAAACGTTTGTTTATTAATATTGGATCATTTAATAATCGGGATGAAATTAAAGTTGACATTTTTGTATTTCTGTATCAAGAATAGTTAATCGAAATTTATCTACTTTTTTTGTGCTACATCTTCATCTAATCTTAACCCCACGTGGATAACGATAAGATAACGATAAAATTAGTAATAAACGCAATGGCATATGAAATATCCCAATAGGCGCAAAAAGTTATGTAATACAAGTTATACAACATTTACGTATTTATTCAATAGTATTCTAATTATTGTTTGATTCGACAGTTAAAACCAACGAAAAAAATTTTGACATTTTAAATACAATGTCCAAATCTCCATCGTTCTCACTTTCAAATTTACCAACATCATTTTTAAAATTTCTTAAAGTAAGCGAAATAGATCCCGCAGTATATACAATTCAAAACTTACCTAGATATATCCGAATAAATTCATGTCAATATAATGAACATTCACAATTACAAATTTGTAAAGAACTAGAAGAACAAATTGGAACAAAAATATGGCCTGTAAAAGGAATCGATGGTTTTTTTTGGACTAGATGGGAATTGTAGGATTGTTGATTGTAAAGCGTACGTACAAATCCAAAGCAATCCTGATACTTCATAGTCTCTACGGGGTCAATGACGATTTCCCTCGCGCAAAAATTTTTCTCTTTTAGCACCAATTCATAATTCATTTTCTCTCAATTACTTTGTAATTTTTATTTATTAATTAAATTAAAATTGTCATATTTTGATAACAATAGATATAAAGAAGGAAAGATATTTGGTATTGATTTAAGTTCGGGGATCGCTGTTTACGCTCTTGATATTCATCCAAATGATCATATTCTGGATTTATGTTGTGCGCCGGGTTAGTAATAAATTTCATCTCTTAATTTTGTTTCACCGTTGCTTATTGTTTAAGATAAATTATGTTCATCTTTTGGTATAATAAATACGATAGGTGCAAAATTATGCATGATATCTAATATCTTGGGCACAAAGGGGAGTGGTTCGGTCACGGGAGTTGATATTTCACGTGATCGCGCAGCAACGTGTCGAAGTTTATTAAAAAAATACAAGATAAGTCGAGCTAGATTGTTTGTCGCAGATGGTACAACTTTTAATGTATCTGCGCCATCTTTTTTGGAATCGATAATGCAAATGATTAGTAAGAATGAACAACAAAAGTTAGGTGAAAATTACACATCATCAAAAGGGATGGCAGAAGAAATGGCAAAAATAAAGAGTCAAGAGAAATATGATAATGAACCAAATGATAAAAGCCAGAAACGAATCAAGCCATTTTGGGCACCAAAAATGTTGCGGAATGATCCACCAATAAGTGTGTTTCATCAACTGTATGATAAGGTCTGTTTCTTTCATCATATGTGCGATTCAGGAAGTAAATGTGTGCACTTATCTCAAAGAAATTTTTATTTATAGGTGATTGTGGATGCAGAATGTACGCACGATGGATCCATAGTGCATGTCCTTAAAGCAAGTTTTACAAGTAATTCATAATGAATATTTTACTGTCATATTTTCTAATCAATTATTTATAATTTATAGTATAATAAATATGGATGGGATAAATTTGAAAAGAATTTTTTAAACTCTGACCGAATAGATAATCTCTGGGATCTTCAAGTTAGTTTATTATTATTATTATTATTACAATCTATTATGATTTTCGCTAAATATTACAATTTCATATATTAGCGAAATCTTTTAAAAAATGGATGGTCACTATTAAAGCCTGGTGGAATTCTTGTATATAGTACATGTAGTCTTTCGTATAAACAAAATGAAGATGTTATTGGATGGTTTCTTTCACATTTTACTAATTCCAAATTAGAACCTATCCCAAATATAAATAACTTGACGGTAGCACCATTGAAAAAGAGTAAATACGTAGAGGTTGACATATCGAATGCTGTTAGATTTGATCCGATTTATTCTAATACATCCGGTTTCTTTGTAGCTAGAATTCGAAAAAATGTGCTGAATGATATTTAAGTGTTTTAATATATAAATGCTGTGTATAGATCAAGATATTTCTCGCTAATTTAATAAAGTAATTGTCCGAAGCGTAGTGAGGACTATTCTGTTTGTGCAATGTTAGTCGGAAAATCCAATTTTTTAACAGTTGTCAAGAGTTAAGTATCACCGTGAAAATTGAATCTTTACCTAAAATTCAGTTTTAAAGTAGCACCAATGGTAACATCCAAATCAATAAGACAAATATCATGCAATGTATCTTGAAAGCTTTAACAAACATTGACAATATATAATTATACGTAATGATAATACAACAGTACGTACACACGGGATTGACTAGAGGTGCAGACATGTTGTCGTAACCTAATTACAGAATTACCTCAATAAAAATAATCTACCTCTAGGATTTACTTAAGAATAATGGAAGTTCGTTTTGATTGACTATTTATTTGATATTGGTTATATGATGAAAAAAATTTACTGTTATTTTCGTATGACCAATATCGATATCGATTGTTTGTAATATGACCGTGTGATGTTTTTTCCCTGATATTTTGACAAATGATGATTTTCGTGTCAAAAATATCAAGGCAAAAAAAATTCACATGATCATATGAGTGCGGGAAAGGGAAAGGGAAAAGGGCGCACCCGTTTTTTTTACGTAATCCTTCTGAGCTACAGCATTTCGGGCATCAAATATATCCGATATCGATATTATCGATATCTGATATATTTAATGCCCGAAATGCTGGGCTAAACCAGCTGCTAAACCAGATAAGGCCGCTTGAAGTTGATTCTTCGGTTAACGTCAACTTTTGAGCTCGGACAGGGGGGGGGGGGGATAACAAATTAAACAAATTAAACAAAAAAATTAAACAGGCCAATCACAAGACGATTACTGGATGAGATATGATTGGA